ACCCTCGGCATCTCACTGCGAGTTGGGATTCGGGGGCACCTGAGCGCGCGCGAAGAACGCGATGGTTCTAGTAAGTATTTTTTTCCCAACCATCCTGTGGTGTGCCCATCGCACGTTTCGTGGCCCCATAGGGAGCTCCACCGAAGGCCCCAGTGCCACCGTCCACGTGCGTCCCCCGCACCAATTTCGGCACGCTTCTCATGCGTTTCGTGGCCCCATAGGGAGCTCCACCGACAGCCCCAGTGCCGCCGTCCACATGCGTCCCCCGCGCCAATTTCGGCCCCCCCCTCACACGTTTCGTGGCCCCATAAGGAGCTCCACCGGATGCCGCAGTGCCGCTGTCCACGTGCGTCCGCCGCAACCGTGTCGGCACATCCCTCACACGTTTCGTGGCCATTGGGAAATTCACCGAAGGCCTCAGTGCCACCGTCCACATGTGTCCCCACATCGATTTGGGCACACTCTCCCACGTTTCGTGGCCCCATAGGGAACTCCACCGAAGGCCCCAGTGCCACCGTCCACGTGCGCCCCCCACATTCATTTCGGCACCCTTCTCACGCGTTTCGTGGTCCCATAGGGAGCTCCACCGGATGCCGCAGTGCCGCGGTCCACATGCGTCCCCCGCACCCATGTCGGCACTCTTCACGCGTTTCGTGGCCCCATAGGGCACTCCGCCGAGGACCCCAATGGCACCGTCCACATGCGTCCGCCACACCCATGTCGGCACACGCCTCACACGTTCCGTGGTCCCATAGGGAGCTCCACCGCAGGCCCCAGTGCCACCGCCCACACGCGTCCTCCACACCCATGTTGGCACACCCCTTACACGCTTCGTGGCCCCGTACGGAGAAGCTCCACCGAGGGCCCCAGTGCCGCCGTCCACGTGCGCGCCCACACCCATTTCGGTACACCTTTCACACGTTTCGTGGCCCCATAAAAGGGGTTCCACCGAAGGCCCCAATGCCGCGGTCCACATGCGTCCCCCGCACCCATTTCTGCACGCACCTCGCGCGTTTCGTGGCCCCATAGGGAGCTCTGCCGGGGGCCCCAGTGCCACCGTCCACATGCGCCCCCCACTCCCATGTCAGCACAACCCTTACTCGCTTCGTGGCCCCGTAGGAAGAAACTCCACCGAGGGCCCCAGTGCCGCCGTCCACATGCGTCTCCCTCACGCGTTTCGCGGCCCCATAGGGAGCTTCGCTGAAGGCCTCAGCGCCGCCGTCCACATGCGCGCCCCACACCAATTTCGGCACGCCCTTCACACGTTTCGTGGCCCAATAGGGATCTCCAGCGAATGCCCCAGTGCCGCCGTCCACATGCGTCCCCCGCACCCATGTCGGCACACACCTCACGCGCTTCGTGGCCCCATAGGGTGCTCCACCGACAGCCCCAATGCCATCGTCCACATCCGTCCCCCGCACCCATGTCGGCACACCCCACGCGCGTTTCGTGGTCCCATAGGGAGCTCCGCCGGAGGCCCCGGCGCCACCGTCCACGTGCGTCCGCCGCAACCGTGTCAGCACATCTCTCACGTGTTCCGTGGCCCCATAGGGAGTTCCACTGAAGGCCCCAGTGTCATCGTTCGCATGCGTCCCCTGCGTTCATTTCGGCACCTCTCACACGTTTCGTGGCCCCATAGGGGGCTCCACCGACAGCCCCAGTGCCGCCGCCCACATGCGTGCCCCACACGCATGTCGGCGCACCCCCCACTCGTTTCGTGGCCCCATAGGGAGCTCCACCGAAGGCCCCAGTGCCACCGTCCACATGCGTCCCCCGCATCCACTTCGGCACACCCCACGTGAGCGCTGTGGCCCCAAAAGGATTCCACCGAAGGCCCAAGTGCCACCGTCCACTTGCGTCCCCCACAAATAAATTCGGAACGCCCCTCCCACATGCGCGTCATGGCCCCATAGGGAGCTCCTCCGACAGCCCCAGTGCCACCGTCCACATGCGTCCCCCGCACCCATGTCGGCACACCCCTGACACGTTTCGTGGCCCAAGAAGGGGCTACACCGAAGGCCCCAGTGCCACCGTCCACACGCGTCCCCCGGACCCATTTCGGCACACCCCTCACACGTTTCGTGGCCCCATAGAGAACTCCACCGAAAACCCCAATGTCGCCGTCCACATGCGTCCCCCTCACCCATTTCGGCACACCCCTCACACATGTCGTGGTCCCATAGGGAGCTCCACCGAAGGCCCCAGTGCCACCGTCCACATGCGTCTGCCGCACCAATTTCGGCACACCCTTCACACGTTTCGTGGCCCCATAGGGAGCTCCACAGAAGGCCCCAGTTTCACCGTCCACATGCGTCCTCCGCACCCATTTCGGCACCAACCTCACACGTTTCGTGGTCCCATAGGGAGCGCCACCGAAGGCCCCAGTGCCACCGTCCATTTGCGTCCCCCACAACTAATTTCGGAACGCCCCTCCCACGTTTCGTGACCCTATAGGGAGTTCCACCGAAGGCTTCCGTGCCACAGTCCGCATGTGAACCCCCCACACCGTTTCGGCACACCCCCCACACGTTTCGTGGCCCCATGGGGAGCTCCACCGAGGGCCCCAGTGCCGCCGTCCACATGCGCGCCCCACACCCATGTCGGCACCCTTCGCCCTTTTCGTGGCCCCATAGGGCACTCCACCGAGGACCCCATAGGCACCGTCCACATGCGTCCGCCACACCCATGTCGGCACACGCCTCACACGTTTCGTGGCCCCATAGGGAGCTTCACCGAAGGCCCCAGTATCACTGTCCACATGCGTCTGCCGCACCGATTTCGGCACACCTTTCACGCGTGTCGTGGCCCCATAGGGAGTTCCTCCGAAGGCTCCAATGCCACCGCCCGCATGTCTCCCCCACACTCATTTCGGCACCCCCCTTCACGCGTTTCGTGGCCCTATAGGGATATCCACCGAAGGCCCCAGTGCCGCCGTACACATGCGTCCCCCGCACCCATGACAGCACACCCCTCAGAGGGTTCGTGGCCCTATAGGGAGCGCCACCGAAAAAGATATTCACACTTGCTGTGCTCACAACTGCATATGGTTGGGTCCTTCGCCAGGCCAATATATGTGTGTGTGTGTGTATGTATGTATGTATGTATGTATGTATGTATGTATGTATGTATGTATGTATGTATGTATGTATATATATATATATCTATATCGGAGGTCGGCGGGTGATTCGGACGTGAAACGGAGACCCCCCCTACCGGGAAATCGATTTCGGTTTCGGGTTCGTGTTGTGCGTGCCGTGCGTGCGTGCGGGCGAGGCGCAGCTGCGTGGGCGGGCGAGAGGAAATCCTCCTGTGGCTGGGCCGCGGCCAGACCAAATGTTTCTCCTCCGGCGGCCGGTGGCGCGCGGTTTTCCGCCAGTGTCCCGCTGGTGTCCCGAAATCCTCCTGTGGCTGGGCCGCGGCCGGACCAAGTCATGCTCCTCCCGTCAAACGGTGGCCCGCGTTGTCCCGCTGGTGTCCCGTCGGTGTCCCGCCGTGGGTTGCGCATTTCAAAACATCGCCGCTTGCGGCGAGCTGTCCAATTCAAGTCTGCATGCAAACCGACATGCAGACCGAAAATCACATCGAACTGCAAATCGGTTTGCACATCCAGATGCAAATCGTAAGGCGCCGTTGGCGCCGCGGCGAACTTTCCAGTGCACGTCGACATGCAAGTCGAGCGCCGTCAGGTGTTGACGTGGGAACCCCAGCGCCCGTCAGGAGATGCTGCCACCCAAACGCAGGCGCCGCTGGCACCAAGCTTTGCTCGTGCCTCGAGCGCCGGACCTGCAACCAAGGCAGCGTCGGGTGGCGCCGCGAGCAGTCATTGTGGCACCGCAGCGCGCACGTTCGACCACGTCGACTAGCGCTGAGGTGACGCGGGGGCAGCGCTTCACGACAATGTCGAGTGCGCTTCGCCAACATCGCCACATCACATCTCGCTCACGTGCACAATCGCACTACTCACTAGACCCCACCCCACAGGCATCGTCAGAACAAAAATCACCACTTTTGCTGCCCCCCAACCTCCTTATCACTCGGACGGTGGTCGTAGAGGTATAGGTACATATATATACACAAAAGAGTGTGTGTGTATATATATATATATATATCTATGCATATCGGTAAATTTACACATGTATACACATGTTCTTATATATATATATTTTCTCTCTCTCTCTCTCTCTCTCTTTACATATCACCCCTACAGGTCAAGCGGGCAATTGTGGCCACGCTTTGCGCAGGGGTTGGGTACGTCGTCAGGGTCTTTCTTATAGTTTGCTGGCAGGATGCAAGGCGATCTCTTCTCGACGCGGGGATCTCGCCTCGACTGCAGGCTCATGCAACGCTTGTCTTTCAAAAGGGACGCGTTTCGCAGTGGGAAAGAAGGCTTGTGAGGAACAGATTCGGGACGGGAGGGTGTCCAGCAATTTCGCCGATGCACTTCGGACTTGGTCTGGTCATCCCTTTCCTCCCCTCCACCACCTCCTTTCCCCCCCAGACATCCAGCGCACCGATGTCCCCGACGCAGGGGCCCCAGCCCTTGTCGACCCCGTCTCCAGGGACCCCCGGTCGTCTCTTGACGGCCCCGAGGCCCGAAGCCAGCCTCCAGAGGCCAGGGGTGCCAACAAACCGGCCGCCTTGCTTTAAAACAAACCGACGTCGGAGGCCTGGGTCCCGGCCTCCCCGTCTCCCCTTCGCCTCTCGGCCCCTCCTCTCTTTCCCCGCCCCCTCCTTTCCCCCCCTCTTCCTTCTCCCCCCACCCTTTTTTGTCTCGTCGTCGCCCTCCGCCTCCGTCTCACTCCCCGCGAGGAGGCCTGAGCCCCCCGTCCACGTCCCTCGTTTCCTCCCTTCCCCGCCTGCACCTTTCCCCTCCTCCCATTTCCCTTCCCCCCTCCTCCCCGTCTGCGTCGCCCTGCGAAACCTTCCTCCCCTCTCTTCAGGCGCGTTCCTTCGCTCGCCCCGCGCCTTCCTCCTGCAGCAGCGCACGGCCCCCCCGCCAG